GGGCCAGGGTTCAGCCTCTGATTTGATTGGACCCTAGTTGTCAGGTGCCCTGGACATACCTGGCCATCCCCGGGGAGCCAGCTGGTCACTGAGGCACTGCAGGACAGAAGGACGTGGTGCCACTTGTGTGCTGCACCTCCCAGCACCACATGTGTCCTCCCAGCTGCCTGGAAGGCTGGGGGAGCAGCTCTAGCAGTGAAGCCCAGAAGCCTGGGCTTCTGCCATCTGGACATGGCAGGGTCACTAGGGTCACTGCTCTTTCAGCCACAGCAGCTGCTTGGGCCAGGACAGCTGAGTCCCAGCCGGTGCCCTGCCTTCACCACCACCCCAGGCTCCGGCCCAGTGGGTTCCTCACCTCGCACCTCCAGACGGCACTCACACTGTGCCTCGCCTTGTAAGTTGGTGGCCCTGCAGACATAGACACCCCCATCAAAGGGGCAGGGCTTTCTGATCTCCAGGGTCAACACTCCCTGCTTGCTGAACATGCGGAAGCGGGCGTCTTCTCCCAGGTCCAGGCCATTCTTGAACCAGGAAACCTTGGGCTATAAATCGGGATGGGAGGGAGGGAAACTGAGGTCGAGAGGGGACCTAGCAGGAATGTAGGGAGATTGGCATTTGTGTTTCTACGCCAGCAGCTCTCATTGGAGTCCCAAACTGCCCAAGGCTGGGAACAGCACAGGAGCCAACCAAGAGTGCCGAGGCCCTGCTCACGGAGGGGACCCTGGCCCTGATGTCCAGAGGCAGAGAGGAAGCGGGGGCAGGCTGGGGAGAGGACTGCTCGAGGTTGGAGCCTCTGAGCCCTGCCTCCTGGGTCTAACTGGACCTGGGCCCCAAGTTCCCTACCTTGGGGCTACCCCGGACGGCACAGCAGAGGGTAGCATTGTAGCCGGCAATGACGGAGCGGTTCACCAGGGGGTGGGTGAAGCTTGGGGCCTCGGAGAAGTCCAGGAGTGGGAGAGGCCACTGAGGGGAAGGGGACCCTGGTACCGGGCGCTGCCGCCTGGGGGAGCATGGCACCTTTGCTCTTAGTTTTGAACTTTCTGTTTTGTCTCTTGCCCGTCCGGTTTTAGTTCCTGAAATTAAAGAAGTGGTGAGCCACAAGTACAAGACACCAATGGTGAGTGTGCCTGCGCGGGGCTCCCTGGGGACCTTTGGACAGCAGTGGGGTGGACCCTCTTGAGAGCACAGGGTGAGGGACAGTGAGGAATGAATGCTTTGAGAGGCGAATTGGGTTTAGATGCCAAAGAGTCAACTGCAGCTGTAGCCCTGGGGAGACACTCATCCCCTCTCCACCTGCCGGCTCTCAAGCCTTGCTCAGGCCCGAGCCCAGTGTCAGCGTGGCAGCTTCCGGCCTGGCAGGTCTCCACGTGTGAAGGTGACGGAGACTCAGTGATGTTGATCTGCCTGGTTTTCTCTCCCCTCTAGGCCCATGAGATCTGCTACTCTGTGTTGTGTCTCTTCTCGTATGTGGCTGCAGTTCGTAGCAGTGAGGAAGATCTCAGAACCCCACCCCGGCCCGTCTCTAGCTGATGGAGGAGGGTTACGGCTGCCCCAGCCCAGGGGACGCCCCTTTCCTCTTGCTGTTCCCAAGTGCACGATGCTGCTGTGACGAGAAGTGGATGATGCGTGTATGTCCTCTGCCAGCCCTTTGCCGTAGCTTAACTGGTTCCCGGTCATGTATCTCTCTCAGTGTGTCTTAGAATGTCCGTTACAGGGCTGAGCTCGTCTCCTCCACAGTCTCCCCCTTCACTCCCAGAGGACCAGCCTCCTGCCCCTCAGGGCTCATGAGTGTGTGTGTGTGTCTGTTGGGCCAGTGGCTTCTAAGAACTCTCTGAGTATAGACCTGTGCGAGTCCACTCCTGTGTGTCCTTGAGACATTTGTGTTGTGGCTCCTTGTCCTTGGCATTACAGCCTTGCAGTGCAGGGCTCTGCATCCCGTGGTCCAGCGTGGCCGGGCGCCTGGAGCAGTCCCGCTCGGAGGAGCGAGGGGAGCCTGACGCCTGTTTTCCCAGAAGAGGTGTGGGCAGGGAGAGGAAGGGAGAGTCCAGGGCAGGAGAGTGAATGGCAGCCTTCCTGCTTCCTTATCCATTTCCTAAGCTGGCAGCTACGGCCCATGGCCTCTACAACTGTGGCGGAGCGGTACAGAGGGGCACTTTTGCCAAGCAGCGATTTCCCTGTGGTCTGCCTTACCTTAGGCACGAGCGAGCAGAGTGGCTGGGGCTGGGAGAGTCCCAGGGACCACTGGCTGCCATGCCCAGGATCCCGGAGGCGTGGCAAAGGCCAAGTTCAGTATACACATCTGTGTCTGCAGGCAGCATCTTCTGACACTGGGTGCCAGAGGGGAGTCGGCAAGAGATGATTGTACATATTTCTGCTCCACGTTATTTATAGAAAATGTACAGACGTGCGAATGTGAAATAAATGTCCTTAATTCCCCTTGGGCTCCTGGCATTAAATGATGCCTCCTTTCAGCCTGACCAGGAAGGCTGACCTTGGACTCTACAGAGACACCTCTGGTCTGAAGGAAGCAGGGAGGAGAGGTCAGCCTCTCCTGAACGCTGGCACGCTGACGTCCCAGCCTCCCAGCCCCCGGCCCAGTGAGGCTCCCAGAGAGGCTGTGGGAGGGAGGGGGCTTCCCTCAGCCCTGTGGCGCCTTAGGGCCCACAGAGGGTTGCCGTGCTGTGAATTGGGCACTAGAGGGCGCAGCCAAACTGGCTTTGCCTTCTGAGCAGAGATGACTTTATCAGTGAAGGGAAACCAAGGCTGGGGTCCCAACTCCTGTCCACGACTGGTGTGGTCCAGAGTGTTGTGACTCACCAGGGCCTCCCACAGGCCCTGCAGCCCAGAGTTCTGGGATCTTGGCCGGGAGTGTCTTGGGTTGGGTAGAACTCTGAGAAGCAACCCTGGGATTAGCCTTCACGGGTTTTTTTCTATGCCATGGAAAAACCTGGCATTCCCTGGGCAGGAAGGACCCTCTACACTCTCTCAGGGCACCGCTGAGACCTGCTGG